GAAATACACCATGTTTTGTGCACCACATTCACACATCATTTTTGCACACATTCAGTAAACATCGATACTGTCAAAACTTATTATTATAAGAACCATAACAAGAGAACATTGATTTACAGATAGCAGATACCAACTATAGGGATCATTAAGAGTAATCACACCTCCAACTCCAAGCTGCTTCAGTCGAGGCACATCCTTTGGAAATGGAACAACTCCCAACAAGAGGAACTGCATAAACATAATGAATTCAACATATTAAGAATCCATTCTTCATTAAAACTTATTGTAGAAATGAGAAATAATCAAACCCTTCCCCTCACATATATAGCATAGTTCAGCAAACCAGGTTATAACCAGATTTAGAAGCATATCCAAATATCCACTATAAATTCAACTTGTACTTACTTGGAAGATCCAAAAATAATTAACAGTACACGAATCAGTCAAACAGTTTAAAATTTTACAACCCCTAAAATATCCACATCTTGAGTTTTAAAACCTCAGATTAAACCAATCAATGAGTAGATATAAGAAATGTCGAAGCTAACCTTACCAAAACATTATACCTGAGTAAAGAAGCCATCTTACTTATCTGATCAAAGAAAAAGTAGGCTCAAGCGGAATCTTATTGAAGGGTGAATTAGATTGATTGAGGCTCGAATTCATTTTATACTCAGTTATTCTAATTGGCCCTGTTTGTGCTAGAACAAGAACAGGGATTCCAACATTCAGTTAAAGTAGTAACGGGAAAGGCGGATTGTACTAATCTAGACATAATAGCGTAAAGAAATTAAAAAGAAACCATAATGGCCTTTCCTCATATTTGTATAGGTAATAAGTGTAGATATAGCACAGTGGTTCTTAATTTATGACAGACCAAAGGCACACTTGTATCAATACATGCCAAATCTTAGTAAAACATCAGCAATTTCATGATAATTGTCCCTAATACCCTTAGTTATCAAATTAAGATGAATGTCTACCTTAATAATCAGAGAGTAAGAAAGAACATTAATCTCCAAAAAGAAACTCCTACTCCAGCCATATACCAGGGGAATTTGTTAGTAGCATCCAGTTCGTGGTTAGTACCCACCTCATCCCTCACCCCCCAAAAACCAACCTTGGATTTTCTGAATACTCCTCTTCAAAAATCTGTTATCTAACACTTACTGGATAGTTCAAAGTTCACTCAATGATGTCTATAGTAGCGAGCCAATTTAAGCAAAGAGAAGCAAACTACAGAACTCCAAAATAGCCAAGGTTAATTACCTAATTTCTTGACAAACATTTTTACATTTAAGGTCAAGATATGATTGTGAGTAGTTGAACTAATGCATAACTTGGGGGCACAAAATGGACGTTGAAAAATGAGAAAAAAAAAACCCAAAACTGGCTGATCTTTTGAAGCCGACAATCTCCTTCTGGTATATGGAAATGCTCGCTATACGATTGAAATGTCGATTCCATATTCTTGCACTAGTTTCTTCACATCCAAATCAGTTCACAACGAAATGGAATCGACATTTCAAATGCTCGCTATACGACTAAACCAACAAGCGACACTTATCTAAAAAGCGTGAGGATGCCTCAGTGAACAATGTTGATTAAACTTCTTTCAGCACTTTTTTTATGCCAACTTATAATTGAAATTATTGAATCAATCATCAAAAACTTTTATCATTTATACTTTTTTGTTGCCAATAAGTGAAGCAACCCATTCAAAAATAAAATAAAATAAAAGGTAAAGATATCATACGAAGAAAGAGTGAAGGGAAGGGAAGCCACCTAAGGAAATGAGGCCGTCGCCGGTCCGGTTAGAGTTGGAAGTGGAGCAATCGCGGCGTCGAACAGAGATGGAGGAAAGGAATGAGTTTGTGTGAGGTGCGGCAATGAGAGAAGAGTGAGCAGAGACAGGAGAAAGAAAAATTAGGGGTTTTTACTTTTAAGACCTTTGGCAACGTTCATTAATGAGTACGTTGCTAAAAGATGGATTTTGCAACGTTCGGTGAACATTGCAAAAAGAGAAGCTTATTGCAACATTCAACAAACGTTGCAAAAAGTGAAACTATTGGCAACGTTCGTTGAACGTTGCAAAAGGTGACCATTGGCAACATATTTTAAATGAATGTTAAATATGTTGCTAAAACTCAATAAAACTAACCGATAGCAACATTCACTTATTTAAATGTTGCCATAGCTTTCTTTAGCAACATTTAATCAACGAATGTTGCCTTTTGAGTATTGCAAAATGACTTTTTTGTTGTAGTGTTTGAAATAGTCGAGTATTATTCATGCTGGTGATGAACGATGGACAAACGGCTGTCAGTAAGCAATTCAATTATAATTCATTATGGGATCATAAGTACCAAAAAAAAATATAAGGCTTTCAAAATTAATTAATCGTTCCATTTAATTTCTTTGATAGATAATGTGCTTTTTATAAATTGATGTTTGTTGCACAGACAAACCGATGCAAACTTGCAATGTACATTCTGTTCCAACTATTACTTGTGGAAGTTTGTCAATTTTTCATTTTTGATAAGTCTTTTTTCTTACCATAATTACACTGAAATTTAGTGATTTGATAAATTTGCTTCAATTGACATGAATGTGGGGGCAAAATTCATAAATCACAACGGTCAGGTCCACGAGGCCGGTTTTGAAACTTTAATTTGATACGAGAAAAATATTTTTTATATACTTAGTTGGCAAATCAAGATAAAGAATCATGTGACATATGCATGAAAAATAACTTCGAAATATGTATTCTCGTAATGAAATAATATCATGAAATCAAACCAGAAAACAAGTATTTTCAAAAACTTTGTTGGAAATCCAAGATGAAAAGAATCATGATCGCACAATAATAAGTATTATTTCAAGTGATCAAAATTGTATCAAGATATCAAATCCTTAAAACAAGAAAAGTATTTTATATACTTAGTTGGCAAATCAAGATGAAGAACCACGTCTTGACACAAGCATAAATAACGTATTTCAAATCAAAACAAGAAAAGTTCATAAACTTAGTTGTCAATCCAAGATGAAGAATCATGTGTTCGATACAAGCATACATAACGTTTTCAAAATCAGAAAGAAAAAAGCATTTTCATAAACTTAGCTGACAATCCAAGACGAAGGAACATGTGATCGACACAAACGTAAATAAATACAAAATTCAGAACGAGAAAAGTGTTTCCATAAATTTAGCTGGCAATTCAATATTAAGAACCATGTAGTCGACACAAGCATGAATAAAGTTTTTGAAATCAGAACGAGAAAATTATTTTCATAAACTTGACTTCAAGATAAAGTAACACGTGGTCGACACAAGTGTGAATAATGTTTTAGAATTATAAATGTATCTTATTAATTTTCAAAATTGTACCATAAATTGGAAAAAATATCTTTATATGCTTAACTAGCAATCCAAGACCAAAAAAAAAAAAAAAAACCAAGCGATCAACACAAGCGACCATAATGTTATAAGTGTTAAGGGAATAAATCCCTCATCGGTTAAGTATCGAAATATTGACCAACTGAAATAGATTTTGGGTCACTCCTCTTAATAAGATTGACCTTATTAAGATGGACCACAAGTCTTAACATGGTATCAGAGCCCAGTAAACTCCAACAAGCTATTCAATCCGATTAAATCTCAAAAATGAACACACGGATTTCAAGATTGGTCTGCTCAAAAAGAGCCACCATCTTGCGGGGTATGCTAAGAGAATAAATCCCACATCGGTTAAATACCGAAATATTGACCAACTTAAATAGATCTTGGGTCACTCCTCTTAATAAGGTTAACCTTATTAAGATGAACCCCAAATCTTAACAATAAGAAATCAAAAACATCATTTTTCAGGGTCAAATTTTTTTAATGAAATCACGATAAAAGCAAGCATTTCGAGGTTCAACA